CAGTGGGTCTTCTGAAGTACTATTACTCTTTCTAAACTGGCTTGCTTGCATGAGTGAGTGAGAGTGAGTGAGTGAGAGTGGGAAAGAGGGGGGGCACCTAGGTGGCTCAGTGGATTATGCCTCTGCCTTCAGCTCAGGTCATGATCCCAGGGTCCTGGGATTGAGCCCCACATTGGACTCCTTGCTCAGTGGAGAGCCTGCTTCTCCCTATCCCTCTGCCTGCGCCTCTCTGCCTACTTGTGATCTCTCTCTCCATCAAATAAAATAAAATAAAATAAAATAAAATGGAAAACCAAAAAACTTTAGACTTTTAAGTTCACTGGTATATTTAAGAGTACTGTGCTTATTTTTCTAGAGCATGTTTTTCTTTCTGGTAAGTGTAATGCTCACAGATTTTCTGAACCATCATCTGTCACTGATTAAAAAAAATCCAGGACCCTGAATCCAAGGACTAAGTAAGTCCTTCAACAAACCTTCAAAAGTTGTCTTAGCTCAGGACTGATCTATCAATCACCACGTGTGGGAGTAATGCACTCATTACACATAATATATAATGCTGCTCTATTATCAAATCCACTTATTTATTGTGTCTACACAATAAAACTCAGAAAACACCTTGCTGATATCATCTTATACCCATGCCGTTCATTTAATCATTTAGTGATTTAGTCAAAAGGGGAAAAATAAAGTGTTTGGGGTTTTGCGGTGGGGGGGGGATTTTGTTTTTCAAGTAAACTTGGCCTAACTATTCATGTTCACCACCTGGTCTAAGAAATTCCAAATCATCTTTTTAATACACTGATCATGAAGAATTGCTCAGTGGGCTGTCAGAAACGTAGGCAATGAGTCTAGGCTCCTAACTGCCTAATTTAAAATCTTGAGCCTAAACCCAAATGAATACAAATGGGTTAATATTGTTTCTATACTATATGCTTCAGACAGATTATTATCATTCCTAAAGCAATGGTTCTATCATGTCACTCTCTGTCAATAAATGAAACTTAAACCAGGAAAATTTTAACTGCATATTTTCAATCTTCTGGAACCATCCCATTACCTGAAGTTTCTCAGGATAACTGATAATAGTTGAAAACATGTTTGTTTGTGGTTTTCAGTGTTTTGGAAACTTTCAATTGGGCCTGATTATTTGAATTTATTTATAACAGTTAGATGCTTGTTTTATCTATTTTTATATAATGATTCAATACCCCCCTTTTAAAAAGTTTTATTATGAAAGAAGTATGGACCCATTCTTCATAAATAAAAACAACAACAACAACAACAAATATGCTAAAAAGTAAAAGTCCTCTATTCTACTCCACCTCTACAGAAGCAATCATATTTAAATAAGTACAGTCAGGAGATAACATGTAACCTATATAAGAATAGTATTATGGCTGTGGTTTATAGTTATATGGATAATTACTACTTTTTTTCACCCTTTGTACAAGTCTGAGATTTCTGGATTAGAAAGCATAAAACATAATTCCCCAGGTTTAATACTTAAAACTACAGTTGAATGAGAAATTTTTAAATTATATAACTATTTCTGACTTGTCTTCAAGGGAAGGAAAAATGAACATCACTTTATTAACCAAAGTTTCATGATTGGTTAAAATGTGAGTAAATGGTAAAGAGTCTATATATGTTTATAAACATGGGAAACAACAGGTCATAACAGGGCTTAATAGAGTAAAGGTGCATGTAATAATACTTATATAAACCATCCTCGAATTTATCTCACAAGAAAAATAACTGCCCACCAAAAGAGATCAGTGAACTTGAGACCTACCTCTTGGAAATAGAACAAAAAATAAAATGAAGTCCAAAATCATAAAGATATTTTTCCTAATCCCTCAGATGAATACAAACAGAAGGAGTAAGAAGGTTAGTTCCAGGGGGCGCCTGGGTGGCTCAGTGGGTTAAGCCTCTGCCTTTGGCTCAGGTCATGGTCTCAGGGTCCTGGGATCGAGCCCCACATCGGGCTCTCTGCTCAGCAGAGAGCCTGCTTCCCTTCCTCTCTCTCTCTGCCTGCCTCTCTGCCTACTTGTGATCTCTGTCAAATAAATAAATAAAATCTTTAAAAAAAAAAAAAAAGAAGGTTAGTTCCAGGATAAGTACTAAAATTAATTAGTTCTTTGCCAACATGTTCTTAGTTTGGATTTAAACCAATTCAATTAAAATTTTAGTAATTTAAATAGGACTTGAGTAATGACCTTTTCCCCCCTCATTTAAAAGATCTTTAGAATTTATCAAGAAGTAGTCAACAAAGAGAAGAAACTGCAATAAGCACCAACATTAAAGAATTTAGTAATGTTTGTTTTTAAATGGGAACAAAAATAAGTTCATCTTTCTCTTATATGTGTTATTTGTTTATTCTATCAACAAATATTTATTAGGCACCTATTATATGCCAGGTCCTGTTAAAGGCATTAAAAACATATTAGTAAATGAGATAGACAAAAATCACTGTCCTAGTGCAACATAAACATTATACTGAGGAAGACTAACAAAAATATATATTAAAAAATTCTGGCTATGACAAACACTGTAAGAGAAACTGAAGTGGGATAAAAGGTTAGAGAATTACAGGTTAAAGGATATTATAAGTGCTTGGGAAAATTTCAGACTCTGAAATTCCTATAATTGACCACGGTAGTAATGAAAGTGTCACGTACTAAAAAGGAACCCACATTTTGCCCTCAACATAATCCCCATTTGTTTAACCATCACTGTTCTCCAAATTATCTCTTTCAGATAACTGTTTTATTTTTCTACATAAGTTTTCCTTTTACATGTACAATCATTGTCTTGGTATATATTTTCATTAAAAATGTTCCTAAGGAGGGCCTGCATGGCTCAGTCGGTTAAGCGTCCAACTCTGGATTTTGGCACAGGTCATGATCTTTTGAGATGGAGACCCATGTCAGGCTACCTGCTGGGCATGGAGCATGCTTAATATTCTCTCTCTTTCCCCTGGCCCTTCACTCCCACCTTGCTCATGCTCACTCTCTCTCTCTAAAAAAAAAAAAAAAAAAAAAAAATTTCCTGAGCTAACATTCTAGGGATATATGTAAAAAGTTTGAGACCTTTTGAATTCAGTATTTATGAAATAAAAATTCTTGATAGTTTGGCAATCTTGAATAATCAGTGGCATTGATTTATAGAAAATCATGATTAAAGGGAAAAGAGCTCTGAGGGGTAAAGAATGATGATAAAATTAAAACCACAATGAGACACCACCTCACACCAATCAGAATGGTTAAAATTAACAAGTCAGGAAATGACAGATGTTGGTGAGGATGCGGAGGAGAACCTTCCTACACTGTTGGTGGGAATGCAAGCTGGTGCAGCCACTCTGGAAAACAGCATGGAGGTTCCCCAAAAAGTTGAAAATAGAGCTACCCCATGACCCTGCAATCACACTACTGGGTATTTACCCTCAATATACAAATGTAGTGATCCAAAGGGACACCTGCATCCCAATGTTTACAGCAGCAATGTCCACAATACCCAAACTATGAAAAGAGCCCAGATGTCCATCAACAGATGAATGGATAAAAAAGATGTGGTATAGATATACAATGGAATATTATGCAGCCATCAGAAAGTGAAATCTTGCCATTTGCAATGACATGGATGGAACTAGAGGGTATTATGCTAAGTGAAATAAGTCGATCAGAGAAAGCCAATTATCATACAATTTTACTAATATGTGGAATTTGAGAAACAAAGCAGAGGATCATAGGGGAAGGGAGGGAAAAATGAAACAAGACAAAACCAGAGAGGGAGACTAACCCTAAGGGACTCTTAATCTCAGGAAACAAACTGAGGGTTGCTGGAGTGGAGGGGGACAGGAGGGATAAGGTGGCTGGGTGATGTGCTATGGGGAGTGCTATGTATCATATAAGACTGATGAACACAGACCCGTACCCCTGGGGCAAATAATACATTATATGTTAATTTAAAAAAAGCAAAAAAAATGATAAAATTAATTAACAGAAATTACTTGTTGAACTAGAGAAAATCTAGCAAAGGACAAATGCTGGTTTTGGTGTATGCATGTGTATGTGTATTTGTGGGATGGTGAGGGGAGCAGGGGGAGGGAAACATTTGAGGGAATCTCTCAGATTCAAGGAGAGATTTTAACTTAGGGTTGGAGTTCCATAAGGAATTACACACAGGGATGTATTTATATAACCATATTTCTTAAAGTCCAGAGCTTCAAAACTCATATTATTGTGAGATAGAAAGCAAGTTATATCTTGTTTTAAAATATTAACTTACATAATGTAGTGACTTTTTAAAAAAGAATGTTATAATAGAATAATCTTTCATGGAAATGTTTTATAAACATAGGTGAAAGTTTAAAAAATGCAGAATATGAAGGCATAGGAAATTACATTAAATGTTTTTAAAATATTTCAAACCTCTATCTTAACATAGTAACTTGAACTTTTAGTAACTAGTTAAGATATAAGGAATATATGGAGATAGATATAGATATAAAATACATCTTGTGGGACAGCACACTGGCTATCAGCTTAGCTCCTTCACACTGCAGTCCCACCACTCCCAAGTGTGTCATCTTGAGCAACTTGAGTTGGTGCCTCATTTCTTCATCTCTAAAATGAGAATAATAGTACCCACTTTTTTTTTTTTAAGATTTTATTTATTTGAAAGAGAGAGAGATCACAAGCAGGGGGAGGAGCAGAGGGAGAGGCAGACTCCCTGCTGAGCAGAGAGCCAGACGTGGGGCTCGATCCCAGGACCCTGGGATCATGAACCGAGCTGAAGGCAGAGGCTTTAACCTACTAAGCCACCCAGGTGCCCCTAGTACCTACTTTTTAAGGTTATTTTCAGATGACTGTCGAGAAAAGTGTCTGACATATAAGCATCCCATCAAAGTTAGCTATGAACTCTTGTTTTATTTTTTTAAGATTTTATTTATTTATTAACTATGAACTCTTAACCACCATTTTCCCTCTAAAATTACTTACTTTCAGGAAAACTTGTAGATCTTGAGTCTGAGTGTGCTGCAGAATGTCTTGCTGCAGATGTTTGAATATAGCTATACAGGTATACACTTGATAATCAGGACCAAGGAAAACACAAGTAGCAATATAATGGCAGATTTCTATCCAATCCAAATAATTCCAAAAACACTGAGTTATCCATTGTAGGCAAATCTAGAAAAAAAGAAGTCACTTCATTAGAAAGCTTATAAAACCATATTTTTAAAAAGCAGTGATCAGTGATTCACACAAAACCAATGAAGAGCTTGACATATGACCCAAATAGAAAGACATCCTACATACTAGGATGCTTCATCTACTTGCCTAATGCATGAGAAAACTTTCATGGCCTAGGGATTCGAGACTTAGAGGTAAACTGATGATATTCCCACTGATCATTTACCTAATGCTAAATGCCTTCTTTATTCATACAGTCCTCCTCTTACCCACAACAGCAGTCTGCTCTCTACAGATAACAAATGCTAACAGACCATTTTAATTCAGAGATGGGAGTTTCTTCTACCCTACCTTTAATCACAGAAGTATAATTATGCAGATGACAGATTGCTAAATGTTGTATTAATGCAAATGGACTCTTGCTGAATCAGAAAATAATTTAAACCAAACAGGACTGTATAACATAAAAACTGGGAGCTAATGTAGAAAATAATTTAAAAGTGAGATTTTTACAAAAATCATTTATCTTACTTTTTGAATAACATTCAGATTGTTTAGCTTATAAAGGAATACATGTTTATTGAAGGAAAAAACAGAAAAGGTTAAAAAAAAAACCATAGTAACAATGGCACAGTGATTAACACTGCTAACATTTTAGTACATTAATGTTATGGGTGGAATTCTGTCTCTCCCCCAAAAAGTATGTCCAAGTTCTAACCAACCCACAGTACTTGTGCTTGTAACAATATTTGGAAACAGGGTTTTTACAGAGGTAATCAAGATAAAATGAGACCACTTCAGGATAGGTTACTCCTATCCTAATATGACTGGTATCAGATAGGGAAAATGTGAACAGAGAAACACATACATACAGAGAGACAATGAAAAGGCACACATAGGGAATGTCACGTGAAGACAGAGGACTGGAAAATGGCATTTACAAGCCAAACCATCTAAGGCTATTAGAACCTAGGAGAGAAGCATCAGAGAGTTCTTTCCCTAGCACCTTCAGAGGGAACACAGTCTTGTTAAAACTTTCATTCTGGACTGCTCCAAAACTGGGAGTCAATAAATTTCTGTTGTTTTAAGGTACCCAGTTCATACTATTTTGATACTGTAGTCCTAGGAAACTAAGATAATTACTTTCCAGTATTCTAATTTTCATTTATGATTTACAAATTACCAGTGAAGAAATATTTCCTTTGTTGAATCTCTCTTATACTTTTGTTTTTGGCGTGGGGAGCAGGGAATGGGAACAGATATAATGGCTTATCTCAATTTGTCATAGATCTAAAAAACAGATGCAGAAATCTTCCTTTTTTGTTCTATTATTTTATCCTTTAAAAGATATATTCTTGAATACTTTCTAAAACTCATTTTGTATAGATCTGATTCAATTTTGGGGAATACTGATTCTACCTTTAAGTAGCTTGAACATGGTGTATTAGTAGCACAGACTGGGTGACTTAAAAACAGAAATTTATCTTCTCACAGTTCTGCAGAAGTCCAAGAACACAGTGTTGGAAGGGTTGGACCCCTCTCCTTGGCTTGTAGATGGCAGTCTTCTATGTTTTCACCTGGACTTCCTCTGGATATCTGTGTCCAAATTTCTTCTTTTAAGGACAGCAGACAAACTGGATTAGGGCCTACTCTAATGTAATCTCATTTTAACTTAATTACCCCTTCAAATATAGTCATTCTGAGGGTAGTGGTGGTAAAGGTTTCAACATATGAATTTTGGGGATAGGGTGACACAATTCAGCCCGTACCAGATGGTATTAATGAATTTTTGTTTTTCCATGTGTTATTACTTATGTCAACCAATAACATTATTTGCAGCTTATAGGCATATCTTCTCATCTCATTTTACACTTGTATTTCCTATTACTGATAATGCTAACTACATATCACCTATATTTTGTTTTTTTACTGTAATTCCATTCTTAGGGAAAAATTTTTGCTTTATAAATATTATGACCCCATTCTATAATGCTCAAAATCTAGTCATAGAGCCTACGACTTAACTCAGTATTGAAATTTTATCTATGAATGTCCAATGCTATCAACAGGCAGAGTGTATTTAATTTCCTTTTCTCCCAACTTTAGTCTTAGCACTAATAGGATTCTTCTCTCAGATCTTGACCTGAAGGGTCAAGGGTCTGCTTGGCATGCAGAGTTCATTACCAATCTTCTATTGCCCACATAATATGGCTCTACTACACTGGGGAGAAAATATCTTCACTATTCTTACTTTGCTAGATAGGTTGAAGCAGACATTTTTTGAGAAGTAATACTTTTAATTCCCTTAATGTACTGCTGCCAGGGTTCTGTCTCTGGTCTTTGCTATAGCTAGTAAGGCCAAGCAACGTATGCCATGCTAGGTTAATAAAAATGAGTCTCTGAATGAATTAAGGAGAAACAAAAGAAGAGTAGAAATTAGTACAAATGATCCCACAACCAGAAAAACCAGTGCCAGAAAAAGCAGTTCCCATTCAGCTGTCAGTTTTAGGTAGGGATGAGTGACATGTAGACAGCAATGAGAGGGTCACGGCTTTTGACTGTCTTCTTTTTCAGCAGCCTTACTGCCCTACAGGTTGGACCGTGTGAAACTGCTGATCCTCAACTATTTTGATCTTGAAGCCTCACAACTTTATACGGTTCAAACAAAGATGTCTGAACTTAAAACATATGTAGGGAAATACTTACCTTTATTGGTTAAAAGAAAGTCAGCCTAGAATCTGCAATTAGTTCTATCTTATACATAGTTATTAATGCAGTTTTCTGTTGTTTACATATATTCAAGCATTGTTTTATTACATTGTCTATTTTTCTTCCATTAAACAGAAATAATGCCTGTCTTTTTCTACGTATGGGAAATTTAGGAAAGGAAAATGATTATAACTGAAAACACTCTGAAAGTACACAAAGCACTATATAATATTACTCTATAACAAAATACAGATGTTTATTATTCATTTACTATTTATCAAGTACCTAATATACAAACAAGTATTATAATTTTTAAGTAAACAAAAGACATTTAGTCCTTGCTCTCATAGAGTTGACACTCAAAGGGGAGATGTGCACTTTTTAAATATATGTCCCTCTTCATTTGGCAGAAATTATATCAGATATTCTGTGTGCAAGATGGTTCAGAATTATTAAACTGTAATAGAATTCTAAAATCGTATTCCCCTAGAAGAGTGAGCAATGAGTCACAGTATTTAATCCTTAAGTAAATAACTTCTCTATAGAATGCAAAGGTTTGCAAATCAGCTAACAATCTAGAATTCTAAAAGGATAAAGGAAATAGCATGTGTCTAAGCAGAATGATAAACTCATAAAACACTTTTTTATTATGGAATTTTTCAAATATATATATATATATATATATATATATATACATATATATATAAAAGCAGTTCATGAATCAGGCCAATCACAGATTTGAAATTTTGATTGGGAAGGTTCTTCAGCACATCCCCCCCCCCCAACCAAAACAGGATCCCCTTCCTTAAACTTTTTAAAAGAAATAGATCATAAGTTGTGATGAATTACATGTGTTTGCTTTAAAACATACAGAAAATCTGTTACCAGTGGTATCAGTTTTTCTTTTGATCTATCACACAAGACAAAAATAATCTTAGAATATCAGCACTACCACAAGCAATATAATTACTTAAAACGGTATTTTTGCTGTTCTTTGTCTTTATGCAACATATCACTTGACTCTTACAGTCAAATTACTGTGCTTTAAAGTGATCTAAAGTAATAGGTTATACTATCAAATATGAACTGTTGGGTTCATTTGCTTCAGTTTGATTTTATATTCTTAGGGACAGAATTTGTTTATTTTGTTGGTTACATGTATCTATATCACCATATGAAATATTGAAATGATTCCAAAGTAAAAATACAAAAGTAAGGTATATTCCTTGACTCTTCAGCTCATTCCTTCCTTATCCCTATAAGCAATCGTTTAAAAAAATGTGGTATATTCTTTCATGTTTTTAATAAAACACATTTATACATGCATTTGTATCTTCACTCTTTCTTATATAAATGGTAACACACTAAACACTCTTTTTCTTCACCTTTTTAACACTTAACAAAGGATCCTGCATATCACTCCAACACAATATGCAGAGGTATTTTTCATTTTTACAACTGCATGGTATTCCACCAAGGATAAGCCATAATTTTTCAACCAAGTCCCTATCGATAGACATTTGCAGTTTTTAGTCTTTTGATACTGAAATCAGTGCTATAACAAACAACTGTATGTATTTTCAAATTTTTGTCAGATAATGTGACAGATTAAAATAATAAATTTAATTTGATAATTACATGATTAATTTGATAATTAAATATGATAATTTGATAGATTTCCATAAATGAGACTGCTGGGTTAAAGGATAAATGCATGTAAGATTTTGTTAGACACTGCCAAATTCCCCCTTATAAGTCCAAAAAATGTACTGCATTTTCAAAACTAAGAAGTTGAGCTCTTATATTCATGGAAATATATTAGTAATGAAACAGTTTACAAAGAAAACGAAACAAACTAATTACATTTGTTTTTACAGTAAACCAATGTTCCTTAAACCAATTACTTTTAAAAACATGCAAATGGTGTTTTAGGCTTACAAGCAAAGAAAATCATTTGTATAATATACATCAAAATGTACCACAACCTTCCTAGGAAATTTTGCTCTTCAACCATACTTAAGCTTCTAAAGGACATTAAGATGCAACACTGAGATAAACATGATTATTTTATCTGAGGAAATTATTCTCACTTGTATCTAGATTTAAAAAACAATCTCCAAAAAATGCCATAAGAATTAGGTAAAAAAAAGTTTGGTTAAAACAATTTTTTAATGGATACCTGATTAAGTCAGAATAAGTATGAACTAAATGACCAAGTTTTATGATTCAAAGACAATGTTTTTAACAACTCTTCTGGCCCTTATTTTATTTGCTCTCACCAAAGAAAGAATATTAGCAAAGAAAGAAAGAAAACTAATTTCAAAATCAAAAGATGTGGCTTCAAGTGAAGTCCTTGCTGTAGGTAACTTCAAAAAGTCAGTTCACTGACTTCACGGATTCTGAATTTCTACTCCTGTCACATGACGTAGTCAAAATTTTAAATGAGATAAGCTCTAAAAATACATCTTTATACTGCACAGGTTGTTACACATAAGAGTATTTCTGTTGTACTTCTAGGCAAGATACTGTGTATCACACACCCAAAGAACCAGTAGCTAAATCAGGCACACATACCTTTAAGGAATTTTCAACTATTAAAGAGGTAAAGGACAAAATAACTATTCCACAGGGCAAGATACAGATTTCTACCAGAAGTACAGAAACAGTACACAAATTCAAATCTACTTGTAGTTCATTAAAAAAAATTTTCCCAGGTGCCTGGATGGCTGAGTCGTTAAGCAGCTGCCCTCGGCTCAATTCATGATCCCAGGACCCCAGGGATCAAGCCCCACATCAGGCTCCCTGCTCAGCAGGAAGCCTGCTTCTCCCTTTCCCACTCTCCCTGCTTGTGTTCCCCCTCTCCCTGCCTCTGTCAAATAAATAAAGAAAATTTTAAAGAAAATTTTAAAAATTTCCATTTGGACAAACATAAAGAGTAAGTAGTTGACCCAAAGATGTGGCAAAGGGAGAAAGAAGGTACTATTTCAAATGTCAACATCAGCAACATGAGAAGGAAAGCCCAGGGAGATAGATATATATCTATATCTATATATCTATATCTATATCTACATATATACATATAGATATATATATGCATTTATGAATAGGAGCATGAACAAGAAACATTCTGCTTTGCATTTATATAATTCTGCATTTTCAAAAAATACAATGTCACAAAATACAAAATGTAAGGATAGTTTTTTTTTTTTAATCCAGTCTTCATGATAGGAGGAGAAAAAAACAGCAAATGAGAAAAAATGATGAGGTTTTTCTAAAAGTACATTCAGAGGATTATCCATGTTAGCTCATTTGCTGACACAGTATAGTACAATAATGATATGCAGACTAATGACCCCCAAGAAATTATAAATCACTAAAGATATGTGGTACTTCTTAAGGTAGGAAAGTTAAATAAAGTACAATAAGGGAAGTGTTTTACCAAAGGATAAAATTAATCAAAATGTTAATTAGAACGTGATTTTTCTGTTCATTTAAAAAGGAGGACTATATATTTAAATTTCTATTTTCTACTCTGTTACTCTTAAACTCTAATCAACACATATTTCTGTTTTAATTTTTTTGTATTCTAGTTAAACATATATTTTTACTCTAGAGATATGTGCTTTTTATTTAGCAACCTACTCACAAATCCTTCATTAATTAACCAATCCCTTAGTGTCTGTAAATGCACAACTTCAAAAAGCACTGCTCCTAATTAGATCAAAATGAATAAGCTTTGAAATACAAAATCTGTATCCAAACGATTACTTAAGCACCTATACCTATTCGTTACTTAAAAGTTGTTTCTCATTTTATAATTAGCAGTAAAATGGCATATAGTATCAACAAAGCAATGATATATACTTAGGGCACAAAATGATTAGCTCACATCAGGAGCCATTAAAAAGGCATTTTTACATTAGCTAAGTTATGAAACATAACAACATTACTGCTTAGAAATAATGCAGTGGGTTTTATTAGATAAATCTGCTACATATATGTAATTTTAAATTGATAAATGCCAAAATGATAAAAAGGTATCAAACTGATATGGTGAGGCCAGAGGTACTGCAAGTTTTGTCCACAGTTTGTAGTAGTCCATTTTAAAGTTAAAGGATATATGTTAGAAACTAATAAATGACTGTAGGCATTAGACAATATACATTATATTACTCAAGACTAGAATGGCAAAAAGAGCTCTCAGGAACATTTTGTTACCTAGATTGGATTTTTAGAAGAGTAGAAAGAATAGATTGTTGAGCTTATAGTAAACATTTAAGTATCTATTTCCAACCAGAACTAAACATTTTATGATTGAAAATTCCCCAAAGTATTTTAGGTACATGCCAAGTAAGAGCTACAACTGGCCAGGAAAGAATATTCTTTTTCATTACACACAATTCCTTGTTATATTTAGATTTACTAACTTCAGGAATTTAAAACTCAACAAGCACAGTAATCAGATGCAAGTAAATGTAATTACATGACATAAGGGCTCTTCAAAATAAGTATAAAGGCACATTACCAAGAACTATATTGTGTAGTAAAGAGGAAAAGATTCCCAGGAGGACAAATCCAAAGAAATGCAACCATTGTTTACTATTAAGAAATCTATCAACGGTCACCTAAACTAAATAAACCCCAAGATCAAGATAATCTTAACCCTAAAGGAACTTGTGAAAATTCAACATTATTATTTGATTAAAAGAAAGGAAACAAAATTCAATTTTTACATAAAGCAGAAGGATTCTTCCATACCATGACAGGGAATAAGTCTCTTAATGGTGAAATACTAGATGATTACTTAATAACTGTTCAAGTCTAAAATAAGCAAGCCACTATTTAGAATTATTCTGGAAAAAATAACAGAATTTAATTAAAAATGAAAGAGAAAATATATTGCAAATTTGTAAAAACACAAATCTAGAAAAAATCTACAACCTAATGATTATGCAAAATTTAATACCTTTACTAATTATTAACAGTAACCACAAAGGAAATAAAATTGAAAAAAAGATTTCAAACTGCATTAATTAGAACTATCTGTAATAAGAAAGATACTACACCTATACGGGAAAAAATATACAACTTCAGTAAAATATAGTACAAAATATAGTACAAAGAAAATAAATGGAAAAACTTACTACATTCCTAGATAGGAAAGCTGACTATGGTAAAGACATAAACTATAAACTACTTTGAGAAAAGTGAACATAACAGCAATTTAAATTTTATCCAAATCTAAATGCCCAACTTAAACCAGGAAAAATCACTTTAGAGGGCACATAAAGAAATCAATAGAAATAGCTAAATTAGCTTTTTCAGGGAGAGTTAGGAAGTGTACGATAGATTGATTCTTATCAGCATTAAGAAATAAGAATGTAAGAAGAATAATGTAATAAATAATACAATAGTAAATACATAAAAACACTAACAGTAAATAAGTAAAGTAATAAATTACAGTAGTAAATAAAATACATAACAGGAATTAAAGAGATCTGGATAGTGGGCTACTTTTAAAGAACATACAAATCAATAAAAAACACACTAAGACAGGTAGGCAATTAAGAAGATTCAACTATTAACTAGGCTATGAAATTATAGTCAAACTTGCTAATGTTTAAAAATTCACAAAATTTTAGAAGAGAAAATGCTACATATTAATCTAGCTATTAGTTTTGAAAAAGCCTAATACCCAGACCTGAAGAACAGATACTTTCTCCATTTCTGTTAGAAGAGTAAGATCAAAGCAAATTGACAACATGCTTCAAGAGTCTTAAAAGTGTTCATATCTTCTGGTTAAGTATTTCTACCTTCTGGAACTCTGACTTAAAGATTTAATTCTAGGGGTATCTGGATGGCTCAGTTGTCAAGCGTCTGCCTTTGGCCTTGGGTCATGATCAACCCCTGCAGAGGGCGGGGAGCCTGCTTCTCCCTGTCTCCCACTCCACCTGCCAGGCTCCCTCTCACACTCCCCCTGCTTGTGTTTCCTCTCTCGCTGTGTCTCTCTCTGCCAAATAAATAAAATATTTTTCAAAAAGGTTCTTGAAAAAAAAAAAAGATTTAATTCTAAATTATAAAAAGGCTTAAGCTCTAAAAATTTAAGTTGTAGCCTGCTTATACCAGTAGGAAACAATTCACCCCTCCACCAATGGACTGCCTATGTACAGGAGGCACTCCTGCATGTGACAAGCATAACTCCAGGCCCTAGAAAAATCATTACTCCTTTCCAGATCCCAAGAGCAGAAATAGAGAGCTGGGCTTTTTTTGTTAGGTTAAGATAGAGTATGTCAAATACCAGATGTCCAGTGTTAAGTACTCTTACCCATAGTTACCTCACTTAATCCTTAAATTAGCTATATGTAGCAGATATTATCTCCATTAAAAAGCCTACATGTCACAGACTTCCAGAATGTCTTTGTCCTTGAACAGCTTAAGTTGAACTTGAAATTTGAATGCTAAGGATCTACTATAAAGAAATCTGTATATTGTAACAGACCTACAGGAAAAAATGCAAATTTAGAAATTTAAATAGAAAAATATGAATACTTACAAAAAGGATCTTATTAATTTAAATGTATTTCCTATATTTGAAGAGAATTTAATTTTTTTTAAGATTTTATTTATTTATTTGACAGAGATCACAAGTAGGCAGAGAGGCAGGCAGAGAGGTAGGTGGAGGGAAGCAGGCTCCCCGCTGAGCAGAGAGCCTGATGCAGGGCTCGATTCCAGGACCCTGAGATCATGACCTGAGCCAAAGGCAGAGGCTTAACCCACTGAGCCACCCAGGCACCCCAAGAGTTTAATTTTCTTTAAAGACACTGAGATCTGGGAGCTGAAGAAACACTATTTCTTCTGGATTACCTGGGATGGTGCGAAACCAGACATGTGAAAAGCTGAAAACACAAGTGGCACCTCCACCTTCAGAAGCATTTCAATGTAGTGAGTACTGCAAAAATATACTGGATGGATGCCAGATTCTATAGTGTCAGTAGCTAGATACCTCTGTATAAAAAGGAAAAATTGAGAATTAATGAACATACAACTAATGTAAAATAAATCAACTTATCTAAATATTTTGCTTTGAATTGCTACTTCAAAATTAACGTGGTGGCCTAACAAGTTACTGCAAACATTGTAATTATGTAAGTTAAAAAGTCAGAATGTTACAAAGACCATAGAAAAAATAAATCTTAATTAAGGCAATATTTATACCTTCCAAGACAAAGAAATAAACTTAATACTGTAATTCAATGCCTGTGGAATGAAGGGGATGGCTGTTGCATGGAAGAATAAATGTACAAGTACACAAATAATAAAACTTTACATTTTAATACTTGAGTGTACTTCTGTATGCTTGCTATCTTTGGCTTTGGCCAATGATTCTATCACATCAAAAAGTTTTATTTGTCAGATCTTTGGGATATTTGCATAGTCCCCTTTTTCTAAGATAACATTAACCTATATCTGAACTTGAGTTACTAATAACTGAAATTAGGAACTCTAAAAAATTTATCACTAAAACTGGGAAAAATGCATAATGCATTCCCACCAAAGTTCTTAGACCAGCTATTTTGTATATATTTCTATAATAGTTACAAATTAATCTTATATAATTTATATATTTTATATTTATTTATATGTCCATTTATATATTTGTGGATATACACACACATCTCTTACAAACTTGCATTTTTCAGCAACTTCTTCATAAAGTTGGTTATATTTTCAGTTTGGCTCTTAGGTATAATTTATGTCACCATGATTGCTCTATAATTCTTCAATGATTGTTACTATAAATACAATATCTAACCACAACATTTTAAAACAAATAATAAACTTGGCAGGTATCATTTTGTGTCTCTAGAAAAACTGACAGACTAGCAACTATACCCAATAGACTTACACTAAAATTTATATTCAAATTAGCTCTGAAGAATACATAATTAAGAAACTTTCAGAAAGACATTTATGTTCTTTACTGGATAACTGTAATAAAAGAAAATTAATGCTTTTAAAGTAAAACAAATCAAACTTACATATAACAATTACATATGAGTTAAAATGAGGATTTCTTTCAAACTTTATTGCTAAAGTGCTTTTAAGAATTTAGGTTTGAGTTATATACTAAAATTTCTGAAACCAGTGAGATGATTTATCAGTGGTTTTCCTGTTTTATCATTCATCATCATAAAGGACAATTTATCATTTCATAGGAATATATCATAAGAATATATATGTAGAAGCATATATTTTATGACAGGTTCTCAGAGATACCTCGGAGAACACACACACAAAATAATTTTATATACTGATGACTGGAGACATACTATAGCATATTAAGTGGACATCTTACAGCCAACCTCAGATGACTGTCTAAGACAAAAAATAAACTTTCTTTTGAGTAGTTAAAAATAATATAAACTAAGGGGCACTGGGCTGGCTCAGTTAGTTAAGCATCCAACTCTCGATTTCAGTTCAGGTCATGATCTTGAGGTCATGAGATTGAGCCTAGAATTAGGCTCAGCACTCTGCAGAGAGTTTGCTTGAGATTCTCTCATTTCTCCCTCTGCCCAAGTAAACATCTCCCTTCCACCCATCCCCACACACATGCACACATGCATTCTCTCTCTCAAGTAAATAAATCTTTAAAAAATATATATACTCATGTATGTATTTATACACATATATTTTAATATGTATATACTAATGTATATGTATACATATAAACTGAGAATCTGTATCCTTTATCTTCTTTTGTGAAACACACATTTCACTAATGACTACTTGTCCAATAGAACTAATGAGTTTAATAGATGCAAAAAAATCAACTTATACATATATATTAATTTTCAATGCAAGCTTAGGTAATAATTTTCTGAATATATGCATAATAGTAATATAAAAAATGTATGTATAAGAAACAATGCTCATACAGTATCTTTTCTATGTTGCACTGAAAACAATATATTTGGAGTAGGTGTATTTAGAGATGAAGATGAGACTAATTACACTCTCAGGAAAAAACAAGCTATTATGTAATGGAGTTCCAAAGCTCAGGCAAGAGTTCTTCTATTCTTGTAGATTATCCTCTGTTGGAAGAAATTATGCCATACTTTTTTGTAACCAACACAGCTCCCAGCACCAAGCCTTGTATAAAGTAGATACACAACAAATTATTGACTGAATTACAAGAGAAGATGTTAATGATTATACATTGTAATCATAGTACACTCACTTATAATAAAAGTTTTATTAATTGGTCTATTAATTGCCATTACATAACTCTAATTTATAGTAAATGGTGTTCATAAAACCAAATCGATAATAACTCTAAATACCTAAATACAACACAGTCTTCTGAATCATCAAATTATAAAGCCTGTTTGTTATACTTTTAGTTTTTTGATGTATTTTGCTTAGTCACAACTCTCTGAAAAGATGGCAACTTTTAATAAAGGTAACTCTAATAAAATTCAGAATATAGGATTAAGCACAACACATCTAGGAAAACAGTATTTAAAACATCATGTAAGAGACATAACATACAAACTATGCTAAAACTGTGAAAAAGAGTATCAGTAAAACTTTTGGGTTGAGATATACTAGTAAGCATCATAACATGAAGCAAGGACTTTATAAAATAACATTCTTTAGAGTATTTTACTTTAGTGATTAAAAATGAAAGATATGTGCCTTCAAAAACGGACTGTGTAAGCAGTCTTTTGGTTTTTCCCTTCCACTATAGGTAGTTCTGATGAGTTACTCCAATCCTGACACTAAGAAAAATCTAGTTCCAAGTTGCTACGGGAATTAAATAGAAAGACCTTATAAGAAAGACAAACTCTCCAAACCAGTTTAAATGGCCCCAAGGGGTCCAGTCCAGTCCTTCAGTCTGGGGATTGGTGTGCAGAGAATGGGCCATGCTGACTGGGCAATGCTGCAGTCAATCTGTGCAGCACGTGGGTCATGCAAGAGGGGAATAGAAAACAGTTTTTCTTAACTCTGATTCTATTATTCTAGAAAACAAATCTTTCTCCTCTCCAGGGGAAAAAAAAAGCACAAGGGAAAATGGAAACTTTAAATATGGCTCTAAGATTTAAAGTTATATATAAAACAATGGGGTTTTGACACTAGATTTCTGTCCTACAAGTGACTGGTCACATGATTTGCTATTGCTAATGCTGTGCAAATAGTTGCAAGTGTGCCAGGACAGGCTGATGGTTGTAAAATTTAAATCTCAATGTACATTTGAATGGTATTAGAATTGTTAACTCTAAACTTCCTGTGTTAACTTTTTTATTTTATGAGGAGTAAGAGAGGAATAAATGTATAGATCCACACACATTTTTATATATATAAAATATACATAACTCTCTGATGCTCTTCCTGTTAAACTACACTAGTTCATTTGACTATTACTCTAGCTTGATTCATAATCAATGGAGCTTTATCTGTATGTGAATCTGAAATAGTTCATATTTGAATTTAATTTGATCTCCTTTTGAGTATGTTTTTACTAACAGAAGGTATATGTGGTTGTTACTTTTATTATAATTATTACTTGAGATTAGGTATGCCTACAAGGAAATAACTGATTTTTTCATCTTTCATAATCTGTCATTTTATTAAAAGCTTTTATGTTAAAATAAGCCAAACTCTGAATCTTGATAAAATTCCATAAAGAATTAGTACATTATCATTTAGGAAGTTGTTGTTTTCCTTTAAGAACAAACAATAATGAAAGATAATTCAATGCAGTCAATACATTAAGGAATTCTTCTGATCTCAGCAGCTTCAAAAAAAATATTTTCAAATTATTTATCTCAAATGAGTAGATAGTTTATAAAATTTTAAAAACTTCAAAGTAATTATTTCATTATGTCCTATATTGCTCATCCAAGGCCAATTTTTTCTACCTTTTGATGCAATCTGCTTACAACATTCTTAAGAATGCAGAGGATCAACTATCTTTTAAATACATTTTTAAGGGACGCCTGGGTGGCTCAGTTGGTTGGACAACTGCCTTCGGCTCAGGTTATGATCCTGGAGTCCCGGGATCGAGTCCCGCATCGGACTCCCGGCTCCCCGGGGAGTCTGCTTCTCTCTCTGACCTTCTCCTCGCTCATGCTCTCTTTCACTGTCTCTCTCTCAAATAAATAAATAAAATCTTAAAAAAAAAGAAAATAGGGCACCTGCGTGGCTCAGCAGGTTAAGCCGCTGCCTTCGGCTCAGGTCATGATCTCAGGGTCCTGGGATCGAGTCCCGCATCGGGCTCTCTGCTCAGCAGGGAGCCTGCTTCCCTCTCTCTCTCTGCCTGCCTCTCTGTCTACTTGTGATCTCTGTCTGTCAAATAAATAAATAAAATCTTAAAAAAAAAATACATTTTTAAAATAAATAAATAAATAAAAATTTTAAAGTCATAAAAGCTTACTGTCCTTTACATATTTGTATTTAAATATTAATTCATACACTTAACACCCATTTGTTGAATTAATTACTACTGGAATTAGTTTGGGACACAATGGTAAACAAAACAGAAACCAGTGCCCTCCTAGAACTATATTTTATATTTAAGTGTTTAAATAAGTAAATACAGAAATTCAGCAGCATATTAGGAACTGACATAGGCTATTGTAAAAGAAACAGGGTAATAAGGTTGAAGAATGTGGGACTGGGGCACAGGCTGAAGCTTTTTTGAGGTTGATTATAATAATGAGATTGAGCTAAGGAAGGAAGATTAAAGTCAAAGTGTCTCACCACAACTGCAGATTAACTTATTCTATCAACCTGCAATGTTTGAGACCAATGGAACAAACAAAATAGAAAAGGGATTACTATTTAAATAATGTATTAAGATTATTACTGAATGTATTAACAAGTGGCATAGAAAAACCACTGATCCATAAAATGATTAAATCAAAAACATTTAAAACATGGAGTTGTGATTACAGAAACATTAATAACTACATTTAGCTAACAGCTCTAAGATAAAATCCCTGAAGAGGAATATTAGCAGAATGTTACTTTATAAAGAAGCACTAAAACAAACTCCTGGTAATGAAATAATTCAACTTGGTATATTGAAAAGTTGAAAAGAAAAAATGATACTATGTAAGGCACTGCCTAGGTGTTCACTGATGGTACAGGTCCACCAACAGAAAGGTGTCAAGGTTTTACATCATGAGTTCATCTAAACACCCTAAGTAAAATGTCACTCCATTCTGTCCACAGGTCTATATTCTATATTCAATGATGTTATCAAAATAAATGTAAAAAAATCCAAGCTGCCTGATAAAGTCCTTCCTGATGCGAAGAAACCCTATTAGAGCACAACATCACTGTTATGTTAAAAAATAAAATAATGTCTTATGAAAAGTTTATAGATTCAAAGCAAAAATGCAACCTTACAAAATTATGGTTAAAAAAAGTTAACTGGTGATATCTGACAGTGTCACAATCTGAACACTAAGCTAGAATAGTTAAGACTAGTGGAATGCAGGTATCATTTTCACAATACTTGACATGAAAATGTATGATTGGATTCAAAATCTATATTCATTATCAAAAGATTTTTCAACATTACATTTGTAAATGGAAGAAGGGAATATCTACAATTTTTAAAATCTTCACATACAATTTAAAGAATTATTCAAATTCTGGTTAACAGAAGGAAAATAGTTCCACTGATTAAAGAAAAACTGGCACACATTCTTTTGCCATTTGCTTCTGCTTGTTCTTGTGAACAAATTTTACATTTGCTGAAGTATAAGAGCTAGAAATTCTTATTCAGGAATTATGTACAGCTATTTTAAGCAAAAAATGATAAAATTTCAATATTTATAATATATTCCTCCTTGATTCTTTGGCTTTATATTCCTTATCACAAACATATACTGTGAAAACATGTAATACATGCTTTCATTGAACGCCACATATTCTCTCAATCCCTTAACTTATTTATCTTTGGGAGCAATGTGATTGCACTGTCCATGTGGAGTATGTCGTAGGAGAGGTTTGGGAAGTGTGAGCCTATCTTGTATAGTAGACAGTGTCCCCAGGTTGGAGATTTTAATGGCAGTAAGCAAAACAAAATACAGAAATGTTAGTAAACTGAGGGATGCTCTTACCTCTAAACTCTAAGATCTCATGAAGCTAGTAAAACCCTTTAAAATACACCATAACACTATAATAAAAAATCATCATAGATTTCCAAACTCATCATAGATTTCCATATTCTGTATAGAATACGTTTACAATTTTTACTTATTTTCTTATGTTGTAATTTAACTGACTTTTTCTAACAAAGCAACAATTAAAAAAAATTCAATAGCTCTTTTTACCTATATATTTTTTTATAATTTACTAGATGACAAGTTTAAAATTTAATAATCCATCTATTATCACTAATCTTTCATTCAGTTACCTTTAAGTAAGACACCAAGCATTTGGGAAAATGTCAAATCTGTATCTTCAAAGAGAATCAGTCAAAAAGCATTCAGGTAGAAAACGAACATAAATTATTACAGAGCTCTCTACAAATAAGATCCCAATGAATTTAAATAGGATCTGCCTTAAAATTTAACACACTCATTTAAAGAAAGAGTAAAAAGTCTTACAGAAATATGAAGTCTTGGCAACCAAAGGAAAGCAGAGGTCAGAAGCCTGGAGAACTGCTGAAGAAATCTGAGTGTTTTTTCTTTGTCCCCCAACATTATCATGAACAAAGAGGATACAAACCAGTCATGGCCAGCGTAAGTCCCCTGCAGGCAGACTGAAAAGCACAGTTAAGGAACTTTTGCATATTTTGTCTTACAAGATGAAATATAAGAATTCTATTAATATTCATTTTCAGGATCCCTATCAGGAAAAAGATACTGATACTTCAGTCCTCATTTTATCTTCAATCAATTTATAAGCCAATGTGTTGTTTATTTACATAAGTAGAGGAGGGCAATGGCACTAGCAAATGCAGAAAAAAATATCTGTTTTGTGGCAACACTTATTCAGGTCATTAAAATCATAGTACCTTCTCTTTCTCTGGTTTAGGTTATCTGCTAAATTACTAACATAATAAAATATTTAAAAATCCATATATTTTTAGAATTCAATAAGGCAAATGGTTTGTATACTTTTTTCTCTTCAAGTCAAATCTATTTCTGAAAAATAACCAATTCAAGTAAAATAAATGTATGTTCTATTGTTATTCTAAATTTACTAACTCTAGAATATTCTTATTCTAGATAAAATTATTCTTATATATATTACATAATATATAATTATTATATTATAATATTATATTATATTATAATTATAATATATATAATATAGATAATATATTATATAATATATATAATATAAGAATATTATTCTAGATTTAAAAAACCTATTTTTAAAAAATGTCTTATATGTATCTGAAAATACAGCCAAATAACTTTAATTACTTGTTTAAGATTAAATAAGTAAGATTGAATTTAGTAATTACTACCCAATTTAATAAAATTCATATTTAAAATACAGAATACTATAAAGGTACATCAACGAATCAGCAATATAGGTTAAAGTATTATTTTACTATAAATGTGTTAAGGTACCCTATCAAAGAACTATGAAAAACACATAATGTTCAACTGCTGTGAATCCACTCAAAAAGGATATGAAGAGAAGATTTTATGGGCGCTTGCTGCTGTTTTAGGAATCTCTCACAGTGCTTTAAAACCAAGGTAAGATCATTTTCTGCGCTGTCTTTTAACAGGTTGAGGAACTTGCCATATCTACATTAAAAGCCCACAAAACATGCAAAATGAAAAACTTCAGGCCCTGCACTACAAATTCACTTTTAAAAATCCATCAAGTGTAGTTCTCTTTAGATCTCAAGGTTTTAAGTTTTCTTCTACTTCTACCATAACTATGCTATACAGAACACTTAGTAGGGAGAGCTTTACACTAAGTACATGTTCCTGATAATCATATTTGGATTAGCAGTAATTATCTGGTAAATACTGACAACTTTAAAGGAAAATAAAAGAATAATGAGAGAACAAAATACAGATACTGTAGATGAGAAGAATATATGCATGTTTTCCTGAACTTAATCTAAAACATGTAATGTTGACAGGTTAGACTGACCAAATGTTAAGTCTAGAAGCAATTCTAGATTTCATCTAATCCAAAAGTTCTGAGAGGGAGTACTTCCCCTCCTGCGGCCACCCGGGAAATTCATGGGGGCATTTTTGATTGCATAGTGACTGGGGACACAAATAGTAGTTGGTGGGTAATGGAGGTTAGATTTGGGGCAGTCCCGAACAACCACTTACAAATGGCCTGCCTATTATTCGCATGGATGAAGAAGCTATTTATAATTATCTGAAGCCAAGTCCACTTTATATAAGATTATAAAATATTTTTTCTCTATTTTTTATTATACACTGAATGCAACTAAATGGGTAAATCAGGAAAATATAGTACTTTCATTGTTTGAAGCCTAAGACTTGTTCTCCATTTTGGAAAGTCACTTTGCCCGTGGCAAAACTTGAGCAGTATTTGAAGCACCGAAACATCAGCAGTCTATATGCAGCTGCCAAAGTCACAGTGATTCTATGTGGTTGACAGCTCTGTCATATACTGCAGCTGGGTACAAACGTTTCACTACAAATCACTTTCCATTTACATCTTACCAATAAGACATTATACTGAGTTTAAAAAATATGTGACTAGCCTGCCCATGTTATCTATGGATTCCATTTCAGAATAGAAATTGGACATTACAAAATAAAAAGCAGATATAGGGTCACAAAACAATGAGTCACATGCTTCATGTGATACAGATGGATTAGCCAGAATTACTATCACACTTTTCATTATAATGCTATGAATTTATTAAAAATAGTCATTTTAAAAGCTTTCATAGATTGTAAAGATTACCCACTAAAGTAGGATGGAACTGTTAAATCCCCAATTAGTAAGCAAGAGAGGAGACTCACTCCTTAATTCACAGTCTGCTGTTCAGTTTCTTTTGAAAATTACGATTTGGGTACTAAAAATTCAAACTACTATAATTAGTTTATTCATTTTTAACTTCGGCATCTATCCTTAAGGTTCTTTTGTACTCATTACCATAGCTTGACAATTAAAATCTATCATATTTTTAAAAATGGCATGATTGTGCTACCAATGTGCTGATTTTTAAAATTCATTTTTTTTAAAAAACCTGTAGTCATACAGGATTAAATACACTGTAATTAGCCTCTGAAATGATAATGAACCATAACTGATTTACCAGCAGAGGTAATTTAATCATGTGCCAGTATCTCCAAAACAAAGTTATTATTTTCTGAATGATAAACTCTGCATTTAAAGTACACAAAATAGTTGGTTGTTAAATACTATTAAACACATATCAGGTAGATAAAACAAATTCTAGAAATGCGCAAGGAAGATATTTCCCTATAATATACCTGACAGTCATTTTAATGCCAAGCTGCTGCACAGATGAAAGACTTTCGTTCTTCACATTTGCATCAGTGGCTAAAAACAATAGCAAACTGGGTTATAAAAATGTATAAAAGTCTGCATAATAATCACATTTTAATTGAAAATTGATTAAAGTAATATTTTTACATATTTTAATGTGAATTTTGAAAACTGATGAATTCGTTCTTTTAAGAGCTGTCAGTTACATTTTCAAAGAAATTAAAACTTTTTACAAATAACTTTTCTCCTATAAAAGCCATTTAAAAGCATATTAAGTACAAAATAACTAATTGTAGTTTTAAAGCAACCTATTTTTACTCAGCTCTCAGAACACAAAAGCTCTTAACCCCAAAACGATGTAGAATATTGTACATTCATTTACAAGATTTTGATTTACAAATATGTATAAGTATGGCTGTTCACTTCTTAAAGATTTAAAATTAGTGTCAAGAAGGAATAATCAGTATACTGCTTATAATGTATAACAATATATGAGGTTGGGGTGAACAAAGTTCTTCCAGCAGGTGCATCTTCTTTGAGGAGTAGGAGTTTGTGATCTATGAAAAGTGAAGGGGCTATATGGGACAGGGGACAATAGGAGAGGTTGAAAATTTAGATTGGTTCTGGAGAACACGGATGACAAAGTGAATGCTCAGTAGCATCATTAGAAGCACTGAGAGTTCTAGTTGTAACTTTCAATTTTTGGCTAAAGAAACTGTAGCGTGCATGTGCATACACACACATATACATGTAAAATATTGAGGAACTTGTTATCTAGTGGTAAAGAGGACTAAAGGCTGGGTTTCTCATACTCATGTCAGTAGGGTTTTTTGTTTTGTTTTGTTTTATTTTTTTTTAACAAATCTAATATTAAACTACAGCTTATTTTTTTTTAAGATTTTTTATTTTTTATTTATTTATTTTTTATTTAATTGACAGAGATCACAAGTAGTCAGAGAGGCAGGCAGAGAGAGAGAGGGGAAGTAGGCTCCACGCTGAGCAGAGAGCCTGATGCAGGGCTTGATACCAGGACCCCGAGATCATGACCTGAGCCGAAGGCAGAGGCTTTAACCCACTGAGCCACCCAAGCGTCCCCCCCCCACCTTTTTTTTCCCTCCTATTACACCGATGCATCTCATCCTATTAGTATAATTTACTTAACTTGTGGATTCATTCATTCCTTTTAATACACCCTTTCTGATAAAGTAAGTGTGAAGCACGATGCTAGAAGCTATGGGGGATGAAAAAGAAATCATACATCATGCCCTAAAAGAACTTTTCATGTAGTGCCAGAGATAAAATTCGTATATAGATAACTCTGATAAAGATATTTGAAAGGACTAAGTGGAACAAGAATGGTACAGATAGAGTGTTATGTGAATTCAGAAAGAGAGAGAGATTGCATAGAAGTGGCACTTAAACTGAACTGTAAAATATGGCTAGACTTGAGATCTACAGAGATAAGGAAGAACAACAAATTAAACATCACTATTATCAAACATCTACTCATTGGACCAGCAATAATTCATCTTCTAGCACTCTTGGAGGTAAGGTACCCTGTTTCTCCTAGTTTGCCTAGGCCCTGCATGGTTTTAGCTCTAAAAGTCTCATGCCCCAGGCAGTCCTCATAAGCCCAGCCAAACCAGGCTGGTCTTTTAGCTACCTACAGTGGTCATTTTCTTTAAAAATAAATAAATTAATTAAAATAAAATAAAATTGGGGCACCTGGGTGGCTCAGTGGGTTTAAAGCCTCTGCCTTCGGCTCAGGTCATGATCTCAGGGTCCTGGGATCGAGCCCTGCATCAGGCTCTTTGCTCAGCAGGGAGCTTGCCTCCCCCTCTCTCTGCCTGCCTCTCTGCCTACTTGTAATCTCTCTCTCTCTGTCAAATAAATAAATAAAATCTTTAAAAAAATAAAATAAATAAAATAAAATAAACTTAAGAGCTCAGTTAATTTCCTGACAAGCTACATCTGAGTTTTACTTACTCGGTTCAGAACACAAACTTAGCAGTATTTTACATTTGGCCTATAATGAGCAGTTAAGCTATTTTTTATATATTTTAGAATTCCTCCCTATTTAGAACTCTAACTAGAGTTAAATAGATGTAAATTCTAGATGTACAGATTGCTAAGGACAGTTTTGCCCCATTTATAAGAGCCAGTATCTTTCTCCTATACAAAAAAAAAAAAAAAAAAAAAATTGAGTTTCTATTACTTTATACCAAAAACATACATGTCACAAATTATTCTCATTCTCATAAAATGGACAATTTTTAAACTATTAATCATTCATATGTTCCCCATAATTTCAAGTTCTTAGTCTTATCAAGAGCATTTTTAAAAAGTCAGCCATAATTTAAATAGCTGTACCAATGCCCATTACAACACAATCGGATAAAATTCATTTGCATAGTGACCAAGAAGTTCCTCCTATGTCAGTACCTGAATACACTCTTGGTGATCCTGTATTTTATTATTAACTGTATTTTAGTTTCCCAAGTTCAAATAATGTTAAGACTTTGGTGCTGCAGTGTTGGTGACACTGGCTGACTTTGCAAAATTTAAGTAGTTTCAATAAAATATGTTGCCTTCATATATTTTTATAGCTGTGAAATAGACCTACCTCCTATCAACTATCATAATAGGGTATTATAAGATTGCTTTTTAATTAGGAAGATATATTCTATAGAGGTATACCTTATGTTCAAAGAAATATAAAATTTTAAATGTACAGTTTAATTAATTTTGACAAATGCATACAAGCTGTATAACCCACATGCTTCTAAGATATGGAATATTTTCATCATGTAGATGTTCCCTCATGCTCTCTTCTAGCCAATTCTTGCACATCCTTCTTCCCTAAACTAGCCACTGTTCTGATCTCTTTCACTGTTGGCTTAGCTTTACCTAGAACATCATATAAATGGAATCACATAATATATACCATTTTGTGTTTTTTATTTCTCTTAACACAATGTTTTGTGATGCATTCCATATTGTAACATGTATCAATAGTATTTTTTTATTGCAAGTCGTATTCCATTATGTAGATATGTTGAAATTTGTTTATTCAATGTATACCCTGAAGTTTATTTTCTTGTGACATTTGTGTTTCTTTTCTCAAATTTTGACTTTCATGAATAAAGAAGTCTGAACATTCTTGGGCAAATATCACCTTATACCTGTCAGAATGGCTAAAATAAAAAAGATAAGAGATAACAAGTGTTAGCAAAAATATAGAGAAACAGGACCCTTGTAAACTGTTGATGGGAATATAAACTGGTACATCTACTATGGAAAATAGTATGGAGGTTCCTAAAAAAAAAAAAAAAATAGAAATAGAAATACCATATGATCCACTAATCCCACTATTGGGTATTACCCAAAGAAAATGAAAACATTCAAAAAGATACATGCACCCCTATGTTTACTGCAGCATCATTTACAGTAGCCAACATAGGGAAGCAACCTAAGTGCCCATTGATAGATGAACAGATAAGGAAGATGTGGTATGCATATGTGCATACATACATGCACACACACAGACACACACACAGAGTATTACACAGCCAAAAAAGGATGGGATCATGCTATTTGTAATAACATGGATGGACATAGAGAGCATAAGTCAGACTGAGAAAGACAAATACCGTATCATTCCACTCATATGTGGGAAAAAAAGATAAATAGCAGAATCAGACCTACAAATACAGAGAACAATCTAATGGTTGCCAAAGGAGAGTGGGGTGGAAGGTTAGGCAAAATGGGTGAAGGGGTTTCAGTTATGGAATGCATAAATCATGGGGATAAAAGCCACAGTATAAAGGAATACAGTCGCTTGATACTGTAATAGCAACACATGGGCACAGAGGGCAGCTACACTTGTAGTGAACACAGAATAATGTATAAACTTAATGAATCACTATGTTGTACACCTGAAATTAGTGTAACTATATGTGTGTCAACTATACTCAAAAACAAAACAAAAAAACACCACAGTTCTTCACGCTGAAGAGAAATGGTACAAGATGAATGCACAGATACATACACATACAATACACATTAACATACATACAAGAGTGTAAGAAATTGTAAATGTATGTGCAAATAAAAATAACTTTGCTCTTGTTTCTTAATTTACTTAAAAATAATTGATTCAAAGGAATAATAACATATAAAAGTAAAATGCATAGAAAAAATAGTATACAGGAAGGACAAATGGAAATAAACTTTTGTAAGGTTCTTATGTGAAAGACATGGTATTAATTCATAGTAGACAAAAATATCAAAATCATAGATAAAATTTTAAAATATCAATAATCATGTAAATGGGCTAAAAACACCAAAAAATGGCAGAAATTCTGAGACTGAATTAAAAGCAGGAAGCAAGATGCAACCACACACTATATATCTTTAGATGACTTTTAAACTAAAAGACATGATATATTAAAGATGGGAAGACATATTATACTGACACCAGTTATAAGAAAGCTGAACATCTGTATTATTATCAGACAAAATACACTTCAGGGCAAGGAGTATTAGAGATAAAAAGACTTTTTAAAAATAACAGCATGGTCAAGTCATCAAGAAGAAAAAGCAATACTAAATATATATTTACCAAATTGGAAAACCTTACAATACATGAAGCAAAAACTAAAGAAATAAAGGGACAAGTACGTAAGCATAAAATAATAAAGGGAGAGCTCAACACTACTATATCTGTGTTTGTACCAAAAGCAGACAAAAATTTAGAAACTATTTAGAAAATCTGAATAGCATGAGCAACTAAATTGCCCTTATTGGTTATTTACAGAACACTACAACTATCAACTCTAAAATATATATCCTTTCACTTGTCAATGGAACATTTACTGAGACAGAACATTGGCTCACCATAAAAAGCTTCAAAAAATTTCAAAGAAATTAAATTATACAGAGTATAAACACAAATAGAATTAAAATAGAAATCGGTAACAAAAAGATACCTGGAAAATCTCCAAATTCTTGAAAGTTAAGCAACACACTGCAAATTAATCAAGGTCAAAGCAAGC